GACAGAAAACCCAAGTGTGATGGTGAGAAAGAAAGGTTTTCTAAGGCTACTTAAGAAACAGAACTGTTACTTTCCTGCCTTAAACAGCTTCAGTCTTCAGTCCTTTTCAGAGCGGACAATGACAGTAAACAAAAGGAGGTCATGAAAACTCATGCACTCCCTAGAACTCCAATCAAAAGGACGGAGGAAAAGGCCTCTGTAGAAAACCAAGGTAAGAAGTAAGAGGCCAGATTTTTCTGATATCCTTGTATCTGTCCTTCCTGATGTTCCCTCCAACTGAAAACTACCTTAACATATTGCCTAAATTAGCAGAAGTGGTAAAAAAGACAGGCTGATGACATCTTGTGAACTACAATTCACTTGGTAAGAGAGCTGTTAGCAAGCTCACAGCTTGTCACAGAGAAGGATAAGATGTTCTTGAAGGCAAAGACGAAATCTATATTCTTTTCCACAATATCTGTCTGGGTTCGAGAGAGCAATTTTGGGAAAAAGTTCTTAGATGAACATGATTGTATAGATTAGAGGTATTTTAGAGAATAGAATAAAAGGGAAAAATGAAAGGTACTTTGCTCCAACAAGGTTTTAAGCTCATGTCACAGCAAAATCCTTTCTGAGAAATGTAATTCTTCTTATGTTGACTTTAATCTACAATTATGCTGTTAAAGTTGTTTGGGTTTTTTTAATACCATATTGTGATGCACTGCAGAAACAATATATTAGAACGTAAATGTCCCATCTAACACAGCATGGGAATTCCTATACAGCTGTACAGCAAGACCCACAGAGAGACGCACCATCTATCGTATTATTCCTCACAAGCAATTCTGACTGTGAAAACCATTTATAGTAATTGGTTTGGGTTGAAAGGGACCTTAAGGACCACCTAGTTCCAATCCCCTGTCACAGGATGGGATACCTTCCACTAGACCAGGTTGCTCAAAGCCCCATCCAACCTGGCCTTGAACACTTCCAGGAATGGGGCATTCACAACTTCTCTGGGCAACCTCTTCCAGTATCTCACCACCCTCATTGTAAAGAATTTCTTCCTAATATGTAATCTAAATCTACCCTCTTTCATTTTTAAAGCCATAGAATTACAGAGGGAATACTTTTTGCACACCCTTTCTCTGATGTAACTCACATCCCATGTGTGTTAACTTTCTAAGCAGCTATAAACCTCTGATGAGTATTACCAGGTTCGGTCTGTAATTTCTTTATCTGAAAAACTTTGGGATTCAAACCTCAGGAGAAGGATCCAATTTCAATAGATAAATACAGACACAACAATCTTTGTTCCCCTTCTCTCCTTTAGTTCCCTTCTCCAAAGACAGTGGTTTTAATTTGTGGTCACAGTCTGAGCCCCTTCCTCTTCGTAGTAATCTGCAGCATCTGCCCTGTGAGGAGGGAGTCAGAGAATACCCCAGCCTTGTCCACAAATTATTGGTTACAATCTGTGATAATCTGCAGTCATGGACACACAATTAAAAAAAAAGCAGCCAAATATAAACATCAGTTTGAGCAAGAAGTGGAATAGTTCTACAACTATCGAAGTCACTAGGAGATAGCCCCTGTGGATCTCCAGGGCCCTTCACTGACTTGGGCAGCATCACTGCTGAAGACAAGCAGGAGTTAGCTTCACCTGTTATCTCACCTCCTGCTCCATGAGACCATGCACAGCTAGTTGAAAAACAGTTTGAAAACACCAAAAAAAGACCCCACATAAATCTGGGGATTACTTAGACATTTTATAAAGACAAAAGAGAATAATCTGCGCAGTCTCCAGGCTAGGAAGTCATCAGGTTTTGCCATAGCACAAATACTTTTGTACAGCAGCAAAAAGGAAGCGCTCTCTGAAGAAAATACATTCCCCAGCAAACAGCCTAGATAGGCTTTTCTTCATTAACCAGTAAGAGGGAGATCCCTCTGCTGCATGCAGAACACACTGAGGCTCATCTGACATAGAAGTTTAACTCAAAATAAATTTTTCTGTGATTATGGAAACTTTTGTTCTGCTTCTGTTTCTGCACCATCTGTGATACAAAACCTGGCAAAGACTCCAATTAGTTTCCTTTGTGTTATTACCACCATAAGCAGTCAAATGATAAACACTTATACGAAAGGAAATTCCTCTTCCTTTCTACCCTGTCTGTAAAGAGCAGATCTAAATACTTTAAGAAGAAAGCCAGTACTGAACTCACTCTGAAATCTTGTAATGTCAGATTATCCGACTGCGTCACAGAAAAAGGCAATGGCAGATTAAGTCAATCAACACCTCTTCTGACAAAATCTTTTCTCCAACAACAAGCACTCAGCCTGAGAGGAACCAAGCAGAAGCGCCTTACACCAAGAAAGGTGAAATCCTGAAACATCTGCTTAAGGAACATCTGTGATGGACTTAAGAGTTCTCTTCTCTGGGATACACAAACCCTCATCAGGCTCCTAGACGTATAACTCTTGGAGTCACAGAGGTGGTTGTGCTTTGCCTCAGTGGAGCACGACAGAGGCATCATCTAGCAAAACAAACATACCAAACTTGGCGATGTAAGTTAGCACTTAGTGTTGTTTATTTATGTACTTAAACTCTTCATATATATATACACATATTTGATTACTGTACCTATCCTGATGGAACCCACGCATGGCTGTGGTTAGGATGTCAAATTTTATTATTTTGGCCAAGTTTATATTGGTACCCTAAACACAACAATCCCCTTATACAGAGTTTGCGCACTGGTACAAGCATACTAACATTAGAGCAATATATTAATTTATATAAAAACACATGCATACGTGAAGTAGCAACAAGTGCCACAAAACAAATATTGTTTGTGTTTCCGTCCAAATGGGTGTGATCCAGGAATACAACCTTGACTTTGGCATTTATTTATGCAGTAATTTCCCAACAGTCCCTATGTCAACAGGTTCGCATATGTTTACAGTGGATTCCTGAGGGGAGGGGTAGCCCCACCTGCTGCTTAACAAACCCTCCCTGGGTTTGTTAGATTTAAATAGAAGAAAGGGAAAGAAGAAATGAGACACGTGGAGGACACATGGGGATGGATAAACAGATAACAGTCAGATAAGCAAGGGGATATCACAGACTTGCACCAAATCTTAGAAGCATGAACTAAGACCTATCCCTATTTTTTAATCTGCTGCACCCTTAGTACAGCTTTTCTTCCTACTGATCAGAAATGGCTGTTGTAGACAGCCAGGCTGCTCCCAGGCACCTCTCCACATAATGCATAATTTCTTTTCTTCCTTCACGCTAAAAAAAAAAAAAGAATTAATTGCACATTTTACTGGAGCAGGATAGTACCTCAACACCAGCCCCTTATGCTGAGGGCTGTGCTATACAGAGGTTGATGATTTATCCATTTGTTATTTCCAGTTGCTTGTATGCCAGTGCTTTGTATACTTCTTTGAGAAACAGCACAGGATTTAAAGCGGTTTATTAATCAAACAGAAGTTTGTTTTTTTGGGCAAGACAGTACACCTTCTTGCTGAGGCCTCCTGTACAATATCATTCTGCTGTGGTACAAATGTCCAAACAATTTTGCTGTAGACTCTAAAGAGTGCACTTTAAAAACTCTACAGCCACAAGGGTTATAAAAATAACTCCAAATGGGTTCTTTGATCCTTTTTCCCTACCATTCACATCTGGCTGAAAACTTTACAAGCAAAAGCTTTGCCTGTTTCCATTTTCAAACATTCAAGTTTTTTTAAAATTTTACTAGAATTTCAACTAATGACATGCACAATTTTATAATATGGCTGAGCCAGTATAACAGCTTCTAGCCTTAAAATGACATCCAATCCCATTTGGCCTGACCATGTCATTCCTGCTCCCCTTTTGTTTACTGTGTTGATGTTCTTTAGGGAGCTAGACTTGCAGCAAACTAAAGCTATTAAAAAAATCAGGGGTTTGGCTAGTTTAACTCCCAGAACCAGTTTACAGAGGGTCAGATAAGCAACAGGGATGATGAGGAGGAGGAAGAAGAGTGACCAGTCAAGCAGCAGCTATCCATTTCATAAACCAAGCTGAAGCATGAAGCCGCATCACAGACTACTCTGTCAAGAAGTTTATCTTATGGGATGACCCCACTCAAACACTGGGATCATCATCTGCAGAACAGACATTGAAAAGCATCAACTATTGGCTAAACTTGATCGAGCATTTCACCTCATCAAGTGATAAATACCTGTGAAAATGACAGTATATAAAGTAACAGGTATTCAGAAACAGAAAATATAGTTCCAGACAGTACTTCTTTCCTCTCAAAAAGAGCACAAGTTCTTCTTAAAGTGTCCTAAAACAAGTGTGTACCTTCTGTGACTCCTTAGATCGTACAGCTGACAGAAACTAAAGGCAACCCCGTGAGATACACTAACAGAAGTCACTAGAATGTCCATGACCCGAGCTACTCATCACAGAGAAAACTGGAGCGAGGGCCGATGTTGCAACCCTGCAGCGGCCGCAGGTACGGCCTGCGCACCTCGGGCTACGCGGAACGGCTCCCAGGGCCGCGCCGGGCTGTCCTGCTACACGAACAGCTCGCGTTCAGGTTCGCAGCAAACCTCAGGGTCACGTATGTTTTCACACACGCCAAACTTCTCGGGGCCTGGATGTGTGCTCCGTGCACACCTCCTGTTGGAGCACGGGCTCCCACGTACCCACGGGAGGCGACACCAGACTCCCACGTGCCGCGGTCAGGCGGGGAGCCACCGCCCCCATCGCACCTCCCCGGCTCTCCCGGGCCCCCGGTAGCGTAGCTGCCGCCGCGGTCCCCCCGGCCACCCCGGGGCCCGCCATCGCCGCCACCCCCCGGGCACTGCCGCCCCCGGCCCGCCGGGCGCTGATAGGGCGTCCCCGCGCGGGGGGGGGGGGGGCGGGGACAGCGCGGCCCAATGCGCGGCTCGGCGGCGCCGCGCCCGCCCGGCGGCCCCGCTCCCGCGGCGCGGTCGTGCGGGAATGCGGTGTCCACCCCCCGCCCCGGTACCTTCTCCTCCTGCAGAGCACGCACGCGGCCCAGAGCAGCAGGGCGGCGGCGGCGGCGGCCGCCCCGCTGTAGGTGCCGAGCGGCAGCGTGTCGGGGCCCATGCTGGCGGCGCTCGCCGCGGCGGCCGCTGGTGCCTCGCCGCCGCCGGGGACGAAAGTTTCGCCCGTCCTCCCGCTCCTGGCAGGAGAGGAGCCCGGCTGGCCGTCCCTCCCCGCCCACCCCGAGCCCAGGGGGCTGGGTTTGGCTGCTCGGAGCCGGACTTGGCGAGCGGGCCCGGTGCGACCCGGCCGGCTCCTCCCCGGGGAGCGCCCGGCGCGGGGAGGGTCGCGCCCGCCCGCCCCTGCGGCCTCCCGGCGGCGGCGGAGGGAAAGCCTCGGCCTTCGGCTCGCGGGCAAAGGCTCCGATGTGGCGGAAAGGTCCCAGGACGGAGACCCAGGATGAGGGGGGATCTCCGTCCTCCCCGCCCTCCAATCCTTTTCAGCCCTCCCGGCACCCTGTGAGGGTCTCGGGGCCCCGCAGAGGGGCTCGTGTGGCGGAGCGGCGGTGGCGCGTCCCCATTGCGAACGGGGCTGGGTTTGGGCAGGTAGCGACTCTGATATCCCGTTGACCTCTGCTCGGTTTTGGTACAGACAACCGATGTGTGTCCCCCGCTTAAACAGCAAGACAACACCCCACCAGCTTCATAAAACTTCACTTGAGATAGGATGAGATATGAATAGCGAGCGTTGCCTTTTGGCGTTGTGCTGTATGAGAAGAATGTGGGTCCAGTCCCCCACTGTGCCAGTCTCTCTGATGTGTTATGAAGAGCAGAGGAGGTGAGAAACCAAAAACTGAGGCAATGGATCGATCCCCAGCGTGAAGGAAGTGGGATGAGGTGGAGTGACTCAGAGGTCCAGCTAGTTTGGTACTGCATGGCCGGACAGGGACTAAAAAAATACCAGGGCAGCCACAGTACCTTACAGGTCCACTGCCATTTGGCACAATGTACACTCCAAAATGTTGCTGTGATGTAAGATACTATTCAATACAAATTCACACTGAAGGCGGAAGATGCTTCATTTTCTGGAATCGTGGTTTGGTTGAACGCCGACAGACAAAAAGTTCACGTAGCTTGCTTACTCAGCTGCATGTATTACCATGCATTATGTGTTTCACAATGTTTGGTGGTTTATACATTCCTTTCATCTTGGAAACAAGTTGTACAACACTCAGTCTTCTGGCTTGCCCTGCTGTAAATTTTCACAAAATTGTAGAATCCCAAGATAACAAGCCAGTTAGCTAAAAGCCGTCCTGAACTTTAGAAGACTTCATCACTTTTAGCAGCTTGAGTCATCTCTGACCATTTGCAGTCATAAGGGCTGTGTGTCTTCTTCCTCAAACATTCCAGTTAATTTCAATTAAATACTCAAAAATGCCATTGTATTAATCAGCAAAAATCTAATTAGTGTGTCTCACATTAAATTTTCTCAGAATTGGGTCACTGTTGCTTAAAACTATCAGCTGTCTGTCCCTCCTGAGACTAAAAAAAACAGAAACCCTTATTGTGCAATATGATGCACAAAGGGAAACCATAAGAGAAACTGATGTTATACTTGCAGTTCTGTAGGGCTTTTTGCAGAGAACTATATTTGAAATCCCCAGCTTGGGAATCCCAGGAGGTTTCTTAGCTACTAGTCCAGTAAATTCATGGAAAAGGAGTAATTCAAGACTGAAATGCATTGCGATGTAAGACATTACACAGTAAAATATTACTCATTTTACAAGTGACCTTTGCTGTGAAAATTTAGTGTTTCAGTTCAGTTTAATGAGAAATAACTGTTCATATACAATTAAATAGCTATGACAGCTAGAGTAAGCCCTCATCCACAATCAAATATCAAAACACCAAGAAGATCACTGTATTTCTGGCAGAGGATGTGAAGCGGTTACAACAGCCTTTTTTATTTTACACTTTTCATATTTGCTGAAAGTTACTGTCTTGGGTCAATTGCAGATGCAAAAACCACACCCCACACACCAAAAAGCACCACACCATTAGCAAGACTGTTATTTTGAAATACAGAGAACACAACCTGAAAGGTCCTAAGTACCCTAAGAATGCTGTGTACTGTTCTATGTCAACTCTTTAAAAATTCCAAGAGGATAGATTGAATTCTTAAATAGCAAAGGATTCTCAAAGAGCTAGAAACTGAAACATGTTTAAGTTTGGTGTCTTATATATAGTATGTATTACGTCAATGCAGATCCAACTGGATGATATTTACACGTAACATACCAGTTAAAATTATAATGGATGTATCCGTAGATATTGGCATCGCAGCTAACTGGAGAAACAGGGTGATGCTGAACACTTGCCTGTAATGTAGCTCTAGCAGGAAAGAGGAAAATAATTTAATTTTCAGAAGGTGCAAGCCTAGTCTTATAGTGATATGGTCTCATGCTGAAAAATTTGTTTTTTGAGACTTGGAGGGATTTTCAGTTTCAAGCTGACATGAGATCTTTATGGAGGTATCACTGCAGCATGGTCATAAGTGAGGAGAAAGAATGCAAACGCTGTTATATTTGGAAAAGGATAATGTTACTTTCCAGCTGGATACAACTATGTCCAGTTGTTATCCTTACTGGTGGGGTGTAATTGCTATTGTTCCATGACAGTAGTATTGGCTCCTTAGCAAATTTCTTCAAGTGCTCTTTGTGTGATTAGAAAGCTGCTAGAAACAAGCGCAGGCTGGAGAGAGGTGAAGGCATTTGCAAATACCTACTGGGAAGGGACAGAGAATTCATAAGATAAGCTTTGAGGGCTTTTCAGTTGGAAGACACCAAAGATTTCAGAGAGGTTCCTAATACCATGGTAGTAAGCTTAGATAGATAAATAGATAGATAGATAGATAGATAGATAGATAGATAGATAGATGCTCAGCTACATTTCTCCTGTTTAAATTGTGAACATTCTGTACATATGCTACAGTTCAAAATGCATACTGTGTGTATGTTTCCTACTGCCAATGTTGTAAGATGATATAGATCATATTTTTTTGTCTTATGAAAATGCAGAAGACTCAAAATAAACTTTGAACAGTATATACTGCAATCTGTACTATATGTTACACATCACAGTGTGATTTTGCTATGTGCAGCACATGGATAAATGCCTGTTCTACTGGGTAGCTTTCATGTGCACAAGGATTTAAACTCCCAGGCTTAGACAAGAGCAGATTCTCTATCACTGAAACACCAGTGACATAATGTGTTATAAATGACGGCAGAAAGAAGGCTTACTTTTCTACTCGCCTAACACTACTCATTCAAAGGCTATTTTCAACAGTTTATAGCTTTGTTCTGCTGCAACCATTGCAGTTGCAATACTGCAAGTCCATTCTTGCCTTCAGTTTAAATGCACATGCAGTATTTCAACCAAAACAATGTGTGTATTTTTGTGAACAATAAGGGAAAATACCCGTGGTAACATTTTTAGTGATTTTGAGAAACGGCAGTGGCATCAGACTTTGAAACGGGGTCAACAAATTAACCTCTGTGTCAAAGATAATCTGTCCAAATTTATTTAGGTTATAAGCCCCATAAGAAAAGAGGTTTTGTACACTCTAATGACCTGCTGGACCTTTGGGGCTTAATTCCGTGAAGATGCCACTGGAACTGGGTCTGCTTCCAGCTCTTAGCTCAGCAGCTGTTTTCTCTGGAAGTGAAGCTCTGAGCTAATAGAGATCAGGCTGTATTCAGGGCAATGAAAGTAAAAGCCTTTTTGTTCCCTGCTCTCTCTCTCCCTTCCTGCTGGAATACAGGCAAAGGGAAGTGCAGTGATGTAAGTGTAGAACGGAAAGGCTACAGACCTCTCAAATCTCAGTCACTAGATTCAAGATTAATACGTTTGATTCTCACTTTGTGTTCTCTTCTTCGAGAACAGACCAAGGTACATTTAATGCTTTTGGAAGGGGCAGCACTGCAGCCTCTCTCACATGGCCTCCTGTGTCAATCACAGCCAAGTAGCCTGATCTCTGAACAAGACCCCATGCTGAGACAGGTGAGAAGTCCCACTCTCTGCCCATGCATTTCAAATGCTGTAATCCACTGTCATGTGGACTACCATGCCAAACATATGCCTATTACATGCATCAGCATATAGACTCATATTATGTCAGAAAAAAAGGAGCTGAGAGGTCCACAGGGGCAGGGACAGGAACTGAATAGGCAAAGAGATCATGTGTGGGATCCAGAGAGGGGAAAAAAAAGAGGATTAGGAACAGATTAGTAGAAACTGGGGATGAATGAGCATGAAATCTGGGACCCAAAGGAAAGGAGAGAGGAGGACAGTAAGAATAGAAAAGATTTTTAAGAAAAATGTGACAGAACGGACAACTGCCTCAGTGTAGAGATTAAGATATGGAATTGTGATATGACTCAAAGGGGAAATCCAGGAAGAGAGGTGAAACTGGAAATGAGTGGGAATGACAGCATGAGAGAGGAGAAGCCAAGAGGACTGAAATGGTTCCTACAGTTTGCAGTCTGGGACTCAATGGGAAAGAAGAAAGGGATTTGGATCAAAAATTGAAACTGGGAAAGCATAAAAATGATGGGCAAGAGGATCAAGAGAAGAAGAGACCAATAGAAGATGCTCCATCTTCCTGGATGCAGTCTTACTTTGTACAATGGCAGAGCCTCAAAAGACATGGTCCTGTTTCTCTGTACTGCCATCTGTGCCACAAGTCATGCAATCTCGTATCTTCCCTTCTGTTATAGCTAACTATTGTGTGGTCACAGTGGGAACTGGTTACTTCCTAATCTGCCATAAAACTCATTCACTGAAGAAAAAGAAGGAATAGCTAGCATGCCACCAGATAAGCCATTGATTCAAATCATTCTGAAGCCATAGATTCCTTAGCTTTGCAAGGAGATGGACTGTCAATCTAAGATGTGGACTATGGGAAAATGAGACATCCTATTCTGGAACTTAAATACAAGGGAGCTGTGTTACAACTGCCACGAGGGAGAATGTCTACATTTTCACTCTGAGTTTTTAATGAGAAAATTTTAGTATATGCATATATCTACAAGGATGTAATTTAGGAATGAGCTTTACAGATAAACCTAGATTATGTAG